TCCTTTGTTGTGCAAAAGCTTTGAAGTTTCATTAGGTCCCATTTGTTTATTTTTGTTTTTATTTCCATTTCTCTAGGAGGTGGGTCAAAAAGGATCTTGCTGTGATTTATGTCATAGAGTGTTCTTCCTATGTTTTCCTCTAAGAGTTTTATAGTGTCTGGCCTTACATTTAGGTCTTTGATCCATTTGGAGTTTATTTTTGTGTATGGTGTTAGGGAGTGTTCTAATTTCATTCTTTTACATATAGCTGTCCAGTTTTCCCAGCACCACTTATTGAAGAGACTGTCTTTTCTCCATTGTATATTCTTGCCTCCTTTATCAAAGATAAGGTGACCACATGTGCATGGGTTTACCTATGGGCTTTCTATCCTGTTCCATTGATCTGTATTTCTGTTTTTATGCCAGTACCATACTGTCTTGATGACTGTAGCTTTGTAGTATAGTCTGAAGTCAGGGAGCCTGATTATTGTCTTTTGCTATATATATTTTTTTCTCCTAAATAGGAACCCATTTTTCCTGAGGACTTTCACTTAGATTTTTCAAAGCAGAAATAAGCTACTTATTTAGGGATTATATATAAAATATCTTAAAGAGTTGGTAGGGGGAATAAAATATACTCTATTTTATAATAAATTTATATATAGTTATTATTTTACATTGCATATATCACCTAATAGTCCAATGTCTCATTCACTCATAATGTTTAATGGGAACACATTTTAAAATAAGGTGTGCTACAGAGTCATAAATATAATTTATAGTTCTTTCCAAGGTTTTTTTTTTTTTTTTTTTTTTTTTTTGTGGTACACGGGCCTCTCACTGCTGTGGCCTCTTCCGTTGCGGAGCACAGGCTCCAGACGTGTAGGCTCAGAGGCCATGGCTCACGGGCCCAGCCGCACCACGGCATGTGGGATCCTCCCGGACCAGGGCACGAACACACGTCCCCTGCATCGGCAGGTAGACTCTCAACCACTGCGCCACCGGGGAAGCCCCCCAAGGTACTTTTACTCTAAGCTTTTCAATCATTCTACAAGTATAAAATGAGACCTTTTAATGAATGAGGAATTTGAGGCATCAACTAACAAAGTCTGACTTTTTTCCTGCCTATAAAAGATGGGTAAGAATGACTGAATTATTGTTGCGAATCTACATTGCTCTATGTTCGACAGAGTCTTTGGAAATTGGTCTCAGCTACATCAAGACAGGTGTATAAAGAAGTCCAGGACTGTGAAATCCGTACTGTGGACTCTGAACAATGGAATCCTCTAGTCCAGTTCTGACCAACAGAAACAATGGCCATGTATGTGACTTTACATTTTCTGGTAGTCACATTAAAAAAGTTAAAGAAACAGGTGTAATTAATTTTAATAACATAGTTTATTTAACTCAAGATATCAAAAATATTATCATTTTGATGTGGAATCAATATAAAACTATTAATGAGATAGCTTACATTATTTTTTTTGCTCAAGGTCTTAGAAATTCTATGTGTAAATTTACAATCAAGTACATGTCAATTGGGACTAGCCACATTTCAAGTGCTATATCTCCCCATGTGGCTCATGGCTACCATATTGGACAGCCCAGCTTTGGAGGTACCATAGCATGGCAGTGTGGCATAGAGAAAAGGCGACAAAGACCAGCTTGGAATCCTCATATATGTCTGTTCCTTGCTCTGACATTTGATATTGAGATGACTGTGAACAATTGATTTAGTGTCTCTGGGTCTTAGGAGGCTGTGAGGAAGGTTAAATAATATATCATATTTGAAAGTGCTGTGTAAGATCATAAAGCACCATGCATGTGTAAGGCATTATAACCCCCTTTTATTGTAGATTTACTCTCATGACTTGCACAAGGCCACATTCCCAGTTGGTAGGAGAATCAAGGATAAAATCTGGGGCTTCTGACTTCTAGCCATCTGCTTCAACTATTGGCTGTTCCTAACTTGCTGGCTTAAAAATAAAACCCAAACGTTTTTGTTTTTAAAAAATGAGGAAGGAAGAGAGTGGCAGCAAGAAGTAAATTCCATATTAAATGGTTAGGGTCTTCTTGGCCACTGTCATAATGTTCTGCAGTAAAATTATACATACAGGATATTTATATACTTATATATCAGCATTACAACCATCAAGGATTGGACTTTATTGCTGTCATATAATACAAAACCCTACGTTCTTCAATGTTTCGAACAACTTCTAAATTGAAGTGTGGTTTCCCCACTCTATTTATCTCCAAAATAGTACAACCACAAGAAAGCCCTTCCACACTGGGCTTGATTAATAAAACAGATATGGATCAATTCAGCAGGTTTTCCATGGATATTTTTGGTTACAGATGTAGCTCATTAATCCACATGTGTGAGACACCATCTCTCTAGTGTGAATCCAAGAGACACATTAATCTCTGAACAGAAAGTGGAAATAATTCAGTTCAATTCAGAATATTATTTAGTGCTTACTGTGTGTAAGACACATCAGGTATTTTAAGGAGCAAATGGAGCTTGTTTCTCTGATAAATGTCACTTAGAAATATGTTATTCAACTTGAGGAAAATATGGAATCTACCAAACTGTCTATGATATATGATTCAGGAATCTATATTTTCAGAAGGTATAAAGATGATCAGAAAGGAAATTCCAGATTATCCAAAAAATAATTTAAAAACTTACATTCTTTACTTTTGGAGGGCATACAGAGGATTACTTATTATGATCTATTTCCCTAAATGTAAGTCTGTCATAGTTTTCATATTTAAATTTTTGGGTCATTTTCTACATTTGTTTCAAATGAATTTCTTCCTAGAACTTAAAAACCACATGAAATATTTAGTTTTATACTATGTGAAATTAAGCATATGCCAAGTTCATTTTCACTGAGAAGACATGCATTCAAGTTCTTTGTTCCCTTTCAGTCAAAATTCCTCCTTAAAAATGACTTTCATCTGGTTATTTTTTACTAGAAAACTATCAGAATATAAGCTTCAGTTCTGCCTGAATTGACTATGTTAAATAAATATAATTTTTATTTTCACTTGCTGAATCATTGCTGTTGACCATTGAATGAAATCGTTTATTGAACAATCTTTACATTTCCTTGCTTTTGCACCCTAGTTTAAAAACAAAGTTTAATTTTTTAAAAGTTCAATAAAATGTATTTTTGATATTTCCATCATAACTTTAAAAACAATTCCTTTCCTCTGCCCTATAATAACCACCTTCTGCATTTTTATGATTTAATTTAACATTATTATTGTAATTTTTTACTGGGTGAGCCCATCAGTGCCCTTGGCAGCAAGATTTTGTTACAAGAAATCCAGAAGCAGCTGAGCTTTAGTTGGCTGCAACAGTTATACAGTTTCTCTGGATTGAGTTCAGAACCTTACCCTGACATTATGAATGTAACACACGTCAGGCGTCCTCCTTCAGCTTCTCCAAAATATGTGATTGGCTTGAGTTCTATAACCTGTTGCTTAAATGAGCATATATTTTTTAATTCAGTGGTTTTGCATTATAAATATTTCATTTGGTTAACATCTGGCCTTGATAGAGTTAGTGGTGCCCGTAGTAAAATGAGATACATTAGGAAAATGAATAATGTATTTGCATTTCTCCAGGAACTCTGAATGGATTCATTCTAGACAGGATGTGGTCATGTGCATTAACTATAGGGCTAGATACTGTGTTTTTCTTTTGTTCAAGTGCACCTCCAGCAGGAACACAAAAATCTGAGGAATCTTAACTATTCATTCTTTCAATTACTAAATAAAATTAAGTAGACTATAAAAAGCCATTGTACTATTAAATATTAGGAAACATTGAGTTGTGTGTCCAGAAGTCACACTTAAGACCAGGCAAGGGTAATATGCATAAGATGGCTGTGGATACTATGAGATAATGTCTACTCGTCAGAAATGTATGATATTTTTTTCTGTCGAAGTTCAAAAGTTAATGATGTACTTTACATTTTAATTGCTTCTACTGAGAGATCTGTTAAGGAATAAAAGAAATTCCGGCATGCTGTTATTATTTTTCACTGTTGATATATTCAATATTGTATATAAATGAAACCATATACATTATATCATGCTCTGTTTCATACATCCTAGATTGTCTTTAGGAAAATTTAGTACATGGCACTTCAGTCATCTGAAAGGAATCATTTCTTTTTTTTTTAACATCTTTATTGGAGTATAATTGCTTTACAATGGTGTGTTAGTTTCTGCTTTATAACAAAGTGAATCAGCTATATGTATACATATATCCCCATATCTCCTCCCTCTTGGTGTCTCCCTCCCACCCTCCCTATCCCACTGCTCTAGGTGGTCACAAAGCACCGAGCTGATCTCCCTGCACTGTGTGGCTGCTTCCCACTAGCTATCTATTTTACATTTGGTAGTATAGGAATCATTTCTTCATTACAACTCATAAAACTGTAAAGTATCAGCCAGAAAAAAAATTGGGCCAATTAAGAGAAATTTGATAATGGTAGAAAAGCACATACAGACATGACTGAGAGATGATAAGATTATTTTAATTTTCCCATTTGCACTGGAATTATTTATTTTACAAATCTCCAGATCTTTTATTACTTAAAACCCTCTGCTGAATCATGAAAAGAAGCTTAAGTTAGCAATTTTCCTTTGCAAAATCTAGCTTCTAGCATCTGGTGAACACTTGGATATCTAGTCAGGTCCTATGGCAATGATTATTTTAAGACTCTATTCAACATGCCTGGGCTTAAAAATCAGCTCGAATCACACTCTGCACATGTATTTTACTCTCAGGGATTTAAAAACCTGGCATTAGTAGCGATGGTCTCAAGGCTTTTGCAGTGGAGATGAAGGTGGGAGATAGGACCTGCAGGCAGGCCGGGTACCCCAGGGTCTGCCAACAGCCCCTGTCTCCCGAACAGCGACAGTGAGTTCCGCCACCGCAGCTGCCGCGCCTGTGGACCACCGGCCCCCAGGCCACCGCGCCCTCCATGGCTTCTCACACTTACATATAGACTCGGCCTGCCTGCGGAATCGAGGACTACCGTCCTTGCTTGTGCCTTCCTGTGGCACGTCTGGGGCTGGTTTCTGTCTCTTCACCCGACGCTACTCCACTTCCGGAACAGCTTCTGAAGTAGAGAAAAAAGAGGATACTTTTACTCAATTGGAAAGACAACAAGAAGCTGGATTATGATCAAAGTGTATTGTTTTGGGATCATAGGAGAAATTACATTCCAGCAATGTATAAAGACACACTTCAATAAAAGATGCTGTTATTGACCGAAATGTAAGTGCACATTTAGTTGATATTAGAGGTCTTTGTATGCTGATTAGGAGAGAGAATAATCTTTTGTATTTCTGTGTATGCAAATATGCACTTATTTATTTTTACACATATACTATATATAGCTTTTGTCCAAATCTTTTTTTTTAGTATACAGTTATTGCTTTTCATGGTTATATTATGTGCTAGGTTCCCATTAATTTAATTTCCATTAATACAGGTTACAGATAATTTAGAAAGGATGTGGACAGTTGCTACAGAGGAAGGAAATTTATAAGGAAGTAATACCTCAGGGAGAAAAGTTAGGTTTATTTAAGAGGAGTGATCTCTGCCATCAACACATTTCCATCCAATTTACATACAGTAGTATTCGAGTTAGAAATTATTCTCTATTATGTATCAAATCAGGTCTGGTAGAGCTTTAATTCAGCAATACTTTCAGGTTTTGTCTGAGCTTTTGATGTAATTTAGTTGAGTATGCTTTATAAACCATGTGTAATTTAGACTTTTTACGAGTCATATGGGACTTCTCCCCATTTAAACTGAATTTCAGAAATTTAACTCTGTGTTTTGCATAGTAGATAGTCTCTATTTTGTTTTGGTATATTTCACAGAGACTTGTTTAGGAAATATTATTTATATTTGTTGTTCAAAAAAGATTTAAACAGGGAAGCTTTAGACACTTAGATAAATAAAAAGATTTGAAAGCCAGGATTGGTCGATTAGGAAATAAGTGCAGAATTGGGTGTCTAATTTAGAATTTCTGCAATGTGATATAAGTGATGTATTCTAGAACAGTACTATTCAGTAAAACTTTCTGTGATAAAGGAAATGTTCTCGTTTTGCACTGTTCAATATGGTAGCCATTAGCCACAAATGGCTATTTAAGCACTTCAAATGTGGCTAGTACATTTGAGCAATTGAATTTTTAGTTTTATTTAATTTTAATTAATTTGGATTTAAATATCCACTTGTGGGTAATGGCTACTTTATTGGAGAGTATAGTTCTGGACTTTACCTGTATTCTGTGTTCAACACAAAATGAAGAACTACTTGAATGGTTCTAGCTGCTGAATGTCTATAAAACACGAGTGTACTCAAAACACAAGGCCCAACCTCTGACGTGTACTTGGGCCTGATGGGGGGACCCAGCAGCATTCTGAACTTTGGCTCAACTTGTGGATATTCAGACATAAATAAAGTTTGGGCTAACCATAGGTGATTTGAGAACCTTTTGTCTCTGGAAAGCCATGGAATCTCAAATGATCTCTCATAATAAAGTTCAGATGGTAAATGGACTCAAGGGCTTGACTTTTCCAGTCCATTGCTTGTGTGGTATGAATAGCAAGTAGTGGAAACAGATATGGAGGAGATGCTCCACACACATAGCTGCCTCCATGAAAAAGAAACTCTCCAGATTCAGACTAGATCACAGGAACAGGCTGGTAAATACTTTTGTGCCTCTACCCAAATCATTCTTCACTAAATATTCATTGAGCACTACTATGTGCAAGGCACAACGCTTAGTGCTGGAGGTAAAATGTTGAAAAAAAACAAAAAAGATATGACCCCCGCCCTCATGGTGATTAACTGCATTAGACAATAAGATTTTTTCCAATGTTTTCTTCCTCCAATTATTTTTTTGTCTGGATATGGTGAAAATAAAATAGGAGAAAGATACACATGATAAATAGAAACACTGAAGATCATGATTATGTGTGTGTCATACATCTTATTCAATTTAGTTCTTTCTGCACAGCTTTCACAGTTCCATAATCAGAAGACAAAACCAGTTTTTGAAATGCACTATTGGAAACAGAGAAAATAACTGAAAAGATCTCAACTTAAATTTTTAGAGCATGAGATAAGCATCATCATTTAGCATTTATTGAGTTTTTACAATATATGTTTACAAGGAGTTCTTTCCTCTCTATTAGCCAGAAGAATGTCCTTTAAAATAATTACTAATTAAATACTGTTATAGGAGGACACCTTTTTGCTTTGTCATTCAGAACACTGTAAGAAAGAGTGCTACAATCACATTTATGAAATGAATCAAATTTTTCAATATTTGAGCACCATCGCAACACCTGATGGGAACTACTAGCTACACAGACCAAATGTAGCTCATTGCATTTCAGTTCATTTTGGAAGAATGAACCAGAAATGTGGCAAAATATGAAGCAAGAACTATTTAGTCACACTTCTTTTTTTTCCCCTCCACACAGCAACTATATAATTAAATGTATGGCTAACCTGAATTTTTAGATGAGTTTTCCAATGTATCACTGATGGAAATTTAAAGAGGAAAAGGATTAAGAATTATATTAAATGAATGCAGCCAGAATACATAGTACTTAAAGTATCTAAAGACCGTAAAGTCATTTCTCCCAATATAGTAACTGATAATGTCCTTGATTTTGTAGACTCACACTTTGAAAATAATTTTAAAAAATGAATTACAAAGCAATGGAAGAAATCACAAAGAAGAAGAAAGAGATTAATGTAAGTACTTAAAAACCAGTTGCTTACTAACAACATTATAAACAACTTAAAAGGTGAAGTGGAATTTGTTTTATTCTTTGAAATGTTTTGTACCCTATGGAAGTTTGAAAACACGGTCACAAATTCTTTGGCCCTCCTCTGTGTTCCCTCCCATTGAATCTGGAAGGGCTCGTGACTGCTTTGACCCGTAGAGCACAGCGGAGGTGACACTGTGTAACTTCTGAGTCTGGGTCATAAAAGGCCAGGAAGTTGCTGCCTTGTTTCTGGGATATTGTCTTTTGGAATTCTGAGACTCCAGTTAAGAAGTCTGAGTACCCTGAGGCCACCGTGCAGAAGCAGCCACATTTAGGTGCTCCAGCTGGCAATTCCAGCCGAGCTCAGCCTTCCTTCTATCCCAGTCATGGCACTAAGCATACAAGTAAAGCCATTTGAGGCCCTTCAGGTCAGCCAATCTACCAGGTGAATAAGCCATGAGAGAGAAAAAGCTCCCAGCTGAGACCCATAAAATTGTGAGATACAATAAAATGTTGGTTGTTTTAAAGCCACCACATTTTGATGTGGCTTGTTATGCAGCAACAGAAAACTGGAGCATACCTGCTTGTACGTGTGATATTTTTACAATAAAAATTAAAAAATTGAATGTAAAATTCACTCTGGGAATTCGTCTGCAAAAATTGACAAAGTTTTAATACCCTTCCTAGAGAAAGAGCTCTTACAGATCACCAAGAAAAAAATACTAACACCATATTAAAGAATGAGCACTTATATGAACATAAAATTCACAAAAGAAAAACAGGCTAAAAACCATGTAAAAAATGTTCAACCTAATTAGTAAGTAAAGGAAATATGAATTAAACAATTGAATTAAAATTTTGGTTATCAAATTGGCAAAGATAAAGAAAAATAATATTAAATTTTGGTTTGGGTAAAGTGGGAGTATACATTGCACAAACTTTCTGGAAAATAAATTAATATTACATGTCCAGAGTTTAATACAATAAAGTTGGTCATTCACTTAGGACCTGTTTTCACCCAGGGACAAGAAAAAAACAGAAACTTCTATCTCACCCTTTAAACTGGAACATTCCAACCTATACAATTAGCTGCAACATGTCTCAGCTCAAAACAGGCCTTAGCTTCTGCTAAGTTTGAAATATGGAAAACATATAATGCAGCTCTTCTCTTTTAGTCCAAGCTTTCGGCAAGACTGTTGCAGAAGATTTCTAATTGAGAGGCAGAAACATCTGCTGTGAGGGAGGTAGCTATTGAAGGAATTCCCGAAGCAGGAGACTGAGTTTGCAGAGCTCCGTGCCATCAGTTTCCTCTTCTACTGATATCTTCTTCCTTCAGAGTAAACTCAGAGATAAGGAAGGCAGGGTCTTCCTCCTTCAATAAACTCGGGTTCAGATCTTGGCTCTGCTTCATCCGGTGAAAGTCCTTCAGGATACCCATCATGTCTGCAAAGCTGCTGGCCTGGGACAGAGAGACACAGTAGCTTTGTGTTCTGGTTTGCAAATATCAGGGCTGGCAGAACAAATCAGGAGGACTGATGGAAGCTCAGGGAGTCTACCTGGGTCTCCTCGGCGATGTCACTAACGGTGAAGGAAGTTGTAGAGTGGAATGAAGATCCAAAACAAGGTAAGCGGGGAGAGACCTTTGAACTTTCTGGAGGTAAGAAATCTGTTGTTAATGAAGCCGAAACTGCATCAGATGCCACGATTTTAGCCATCTGGCTGCGCAGGTGGCGCAGCTCATCCTGCAGCTCCATAGGCGGCTTAGGGCCGGCAGGGCTTTTTTCGAGGCCAGGAGCCTCTTCTCTATCTCCTGCAGGCTGGGCCCTGAGGCATTGCGCTACATGACAATCAGAGGGCTGGGCTTCCAGGGGCTCCTTAGGGGTCATGTATGCTCCTGACCCGGGCAGAAGGCTCTGCTTCATCTATAGCATCCAGGCGATGTGAGCCAGGGTAGGGACTCGGGGCACAGCCCTCAGACCCAGGTCAGAGATGTTGGGCAGCAACCCCAAGGATTCCGGGGGACATGGCTTCAGACACAGGTTGGTACCCATCCTTCTCACTACACTTCGAACAGCCCCCTGCAACTTGTTTTGCCAGACTGAGACGGTCACATTGGCTTCCATTCCCCACGTTTCAACTGGCTCCTGCACTTGAAGGACAAGGCAGCCACAGGGCAGCTCTGGGGGCTCGGGTAGGCTGGAGGCTGACTCTTTCACCTCAGGCCGTCTCAAGGAACACCAGGCTTCTCCTCCTCAGAGCTCCGCTCTGGCCTCACTCCCCTCACGGCCCCTCCTACCACAGCGGCGCCTAGACTCAACCGCCCTCA